GTCACCATGGCCTCTGTGCCTCATTGGCCAGCGTCCAGGCAGGGCCACAGGCAGTGCTTGTGACGTCACCATGGCCTCTGTGCTGCCCTTGTGACGTCACCATTGCCTCTGTGCCTCATTGGCCAGTGTTGGGGCAGGGCTGCAGGCTGCACTTGTGACGTCACCATGGCCTCTGTGCTGTGCTTGTGACATCACCGTTGCCTCTGTGTCTCATTGGCCAGGGTCCAGGCAGGGCTACAGGCTGTGCTTGTGATGTCACTATAGGAAGGAGGGGGATTTTGTTTTCATATCGCCTGGACGCCTGGTAATTAGCAGGCTGGTAATTGTGGTTGTTGTATAAATGGCTGGTTCACAGTCACGTGACAAATACCAGTTAGGCTCCACACCGGTTTTCTTGGTGTCTTTCTCGCTCCCTTTTACCTTGGTCTGAGTTGGAGACCAGCTGTTTTGGTTTGGAGTGGGACTGCCCTTCTGCCACGTCTGGAAGCAAAATGGTGTGTCCCCCTGTGACTAAACAGCTGAGCAAAGGTTGAAGGTGGACTAGACCAAAGCTTTGTGTACCTGAAAGCGCAAGTGTTCAATTGATGGAGTCCTTTCACGTCTCCTTGTTGACATCTGTGGCCTGAAGAGTCCTAGTGCTGAGCTGTTCTCTTCAGAAGAGACTTGATAGAAGCCAATGTGCAAAGGGGTCATACTGCTGTCACGCTGCATGATTGCAGCCTCTGGTCGTGAGCAGAGGACCGATGCCACCTTTGCTCTCCCCAGCTGCAAATGGCATTCTGAACACGAGAGACTTCCGCTCTGTGGATCATCGCCTGAAGCTGTACCTGGATATGGAGGTGTTTGAGGAAGACACTGAGGAGTTCCAGTGCTTCCTCAAGGTGAGCTCCTGCAGCACCACCCCTGCATCCTGTGGGCAGCCCTGGTCTTTGGCCATCCTTTTAACTGCCCTGTGAGTTCTGCTTTGGAATAGCATCCCAGAGCCTGGGGTTAGAAAGGGATCCATCATGTGTCTAGGGCAGCCCTGTACCGTAACTTGCCCTCTTTGTGCTGCAGGTAGCCATGGTGAAGTTTGGTCGACATGGGGAGTTCCTCTCGATCCTGGTTGCTTCTGACCTCAGGATTTATGTGCTGGAAGTTACCAGTGTTATCAGGTGAGGAGAGGGGTGGCAGGTGAGACCTGGAAGCAAGGCTGAGAGTGCTGGGTGGTGCTTGCCTGTGCCAGCTTATGCTGGAGTGGTGGTGACGTGGCAAATCTGGCAAAATCCCTTGGTGCAATGTGATGTGGGAGAGGAGGGCATGGGGTCACCTGCTGCAGCTGATGGCTGTGCCCTGTGACCAGGGGACAACCTGCAGACTGGCTGAAGAAGAACGACTCTCACTACCTGTCTGACATTTCCCATCTGGAAGTGGGACTGTGTCACCAGAGCTTGCGCATTGAGTTTGAGAACCCCAGAGCCTCCTACAATCTGCTGTTCCGGAACCGGAGCTGTTGTGACCAGTTCCTGCAGACACTGACATGTAAGAGTTAGAGCTGTAGCAGAGGGAGGGGAGGAAGTGGAAGATTAGCTTTTGGGGCACGCTGTGAAGGCTGCATTTGGGATGTACTTTGGCTCTTGTCAGCTCAGAGGAAAGTTGGGAGATAATTTTACTGGTGTCATAACTTAGTGTTTGTATGGGGACTACTAGAGAACTGTCCTGAGCTGTAGCATACTGCCCTTTGGCTTGTGGTGAAGAGATATCTACCTTCTACCTTTTGCCTGTCTTTAGGTCTCATACAAGAGCTGCCTGCCAAGAACAGGAGTAAAGTGAAGGAAATCCCCACTGTGCAGATGAATCCTCAGCATTCTTTATGGTAAAAGCAGCCTCTGGGGAGGTGGAGTTTGGAATAAAACAAACATTCTCTTCAACCAGCAGTGCCTGGGATCACAGAATGGTTAAGGTTGGAAGGGACCTCTAGAGATCATCTAGTCCAACCTTCCAGCTCAAGCAGGGACACCTAGAGCAAGAGGCACAGGGCGGCATCCAGGCGGGTTTTGAAGACCTCCAGAGAAGGAGACTCCACAACCTCCCTGGGCAGCCTGTTCCAGCTCTGTTGCTCTCACAATAAAAAAGTTCTTCCTCACATGCAGATGGAACTTCCCGTGTTGCAACTTACACCCATTACCCCTTGTCCTGTCACTGGCCACCACTGAGATGTGTGGGGGCAAAGGAGGAGCACCAAAGTAGGAATGGCATCAAGGCTGTGTTACAGGTTTGAGGTAGCTTGCTCAGGTGGCTGCTGCACAGGAGGTGAGCTGCAAAAGGGTGTGGAGGACAGAGCAGGCAGGATGATTGTCACTGTCTAGGAAGATCCTGTGAAGAACAGAACTCCTAGGTAGTGATGTAGGACTGATTGGTCCCAGGTAAGAAGGACTTGGTTCTTTGCTGGCAAGATGTTGGGCAGACAGCATTGAGAGCGGCAGGACAGATGGGAATTTTGCTGTAGCACGTGGAGGAGATGGGCCCCTTGCTTCCCCGAGAGGACAGAACAGGAACAAGCTCATATCAAACAGGAATGAGCTCCCACCAAGCCTAGACTGAGAACAGAGTGTTGCCTTGGATTACTTGCTCGCATCTTTTCCAGGTCTTTGCTGGACTCCAAGACCAAGGACTCCATGGCTGCAGATGACACTTGTTTCTTCTACCTGCTGGCCTATCTGATCCAAGGTACAAGAGATCTCAGTGGCCAATCTCCCCAAACCTTATGCTGTCTACCCTCACACTTGTGTTTTTAGTGTACAGTGTGTGGGAACAGGGCTGGTCCTTGGTTCCAGCAGCAAGATAGGTAGGTAAGAGATCTCTAGTGTTGGGACACGTAGGCTGGTAGCTGGTGTCTGTAAGCGTTGCATCTCCCAGCCCTTTTTGGAATGAAAGACTAGATGCTAGGGAGCAGTTGATCTTGCACACCAAGTTTGGAGTTAATTCAAATGGCTGCTGAGATGCTGGAAATGATCTAAGGGTGGATTCTTCTCATGGCATGAGGGAAAATCTGAGCAGTCATGCACAACTTTGCATATGAAAAGCTGAAAGGTACTGCCTCAGTCTGGGAGAGCAGGAGCAGGTAGATAGAAGGCAGATCTGATAAATCAGGGCCTAGAAGGCAGGACAGGAGGAGCCTGCTGGAGTTTACCTGATCTGTTCCAGTGCTTGTTGAGGGCCAGGTGTGCTAGACATGAGGTTTGAGTGTTGAGTAATTCCAGTATCATCTTAGCTTGAGACACAAAAAAAAAGCCACGTAGTTGTTAATCATGTACTGATTTTGTCACTGCTCTTGCAGTTTTCTTCCCTGGTGGCCATTGGGGAGGTATGAGAGAACAAGAATTAGAAGGAATCTGTGGGAAGTATGTTTACTGGTCTCCTTAAAGTTGTGCAAATAGCCTGTGGGAGGGAGAACTTAATGTATTTCTGTTACTCTCCACTTTTTCTCCTTTTTTAGAGTACAGTGCCTAAAACTAGACACTGTTCCAGCTAAGGCCTCCCTGCCAAATAGACAGGACTAATTAAACATGCTATCTCTGATACTGCTACTACTTTCCAAGAGTGAGCTGTGACAAGAAGAGCTGTGTGTTGATGGAGCAGTTTGTGATCCCTGTGACCTCAGCCTGTTCTGCTAAGGACTCCCTATTTCTGTGCCCTTGACTTATTCCCAAGTTCTAGTGCTCTTCATTTGTATCCATTGAAATCAACTGAATGATATTTATGCTCCCTCTAATTTGGTAAAACCATTTTTCTTTCTGCCATGCTCATGATGCATCTTAACTTGGTATTAAACTTTATTTGTGCACTCTCTATTGCACCCATCAGACCTGCAGCCAAACAAATTCAGGCCAAAAAAGGTGGCTTTTTAGCTGGAGCTGACGACTTAACCAACACTTTACCACTACTTAATTAAGAGGTCAAAGGACTTAAGTGTCTTCTGCCTCACATGAGAGCTTTGGCTGACACAGTGGCTAGTGGGTGGTGGTCTTACTGTTTCTTGCTCTAGGAATGTGTTGGAGCAAGCTGCTCAGCCCGGGTGCATTCAGTTACTCTGCTCCCCCTTTTCAGTCAGGAAGCTCAATAAATCTGTTCACTTGCCCATTTGCTGCCAGAAGAGATTTCCCAGAGGGGATTGAGAGGGGGAGGAATGGAAAGCCAGTCTGGCTCTGGTGGCTCAGGCTCTGAGTCTCCTATTCCCTTCTGTCCTTTTAGGGGCATCTGCTTTCCCTGTGACCCTGCTGAGCACCCGCAGCACACTCTTTCTGCTGGAGGAGAATCACCAGTGGCAGGTGCAGTCCCCTGTGGGTGCGGATGGTGAGGCAGAACCATCTCCTAAGAGCAACGTCCAGTTGAAGGAGAAGCAACCGATCAGCAGTATTAGCAATGTCATAACCTATCGGCTCTGTCCCTGTGACATCAAGCTGATGCTTTATGATGAGGTAACCACAAGGAGTGTCATGGGGCACATGAGACTGGGGGTGGATCCAGGGGGCTGGATTGTGCTTAGACTCTCTTCATGCCAACAGCATTTGGGGCTGTCATCTTTCATCCTAACCCAGAGTCTTGCATGATAAAGGCAGAGGAACACGATATATTGCTGCTGTGTAAAAGTCATGCAAGGACACTTTCACAACTGGGCAAAGAGAGGGAGGTTACTGAGAAACTGAGGAGTTGGCATCTGTTCTGAGGAATAGCAGCTCAAGACTGACCGTTGAGGCTGGGCCCTACCCATCCAGCTTTGTCTCTCTTCTCTATTACAGGTACTGAAGGTGGAGAGCACTTGGCACATCCGCACAGAGTGCCCTGAGCTCCTCACAGAGCTGGTAGAGTGGATCCGTGAGCCCTGGGAGGAGATGTTCTCTATTGAGCTACGGAAGGCTGTGCATGAGGAGCTGGAGTGAACTTGCTAGCTACAGGCAGTCAAGATTTGGAGTCAGGATGTTGCTGTGCTGGCAGTGATGCACAGGTCTCTCCCACTGCCATGCAACTTTGCTGCCCTGTGGCCTCTGCTGTACATACTGAGCTCTTGCCCCTAGGCCTGTCTGGTGAGAATGAAGGGAGCACGTGATGGGCCAAGCTTTGCACAGTCACCCACACTGGGCTGGCCATGGAAGGAGGCTGTGGAGGCTGTCCCCTATAATCCTGCCTAAGCTGCACAGAATTGCAGCTTGGTGGTGTCTGCTAGTCTCATCCAGGGTAGTAGGGGAGTCGCTCTGAAGGAAACAAGTCACTGAAGGAAGAAGGGAGCAGAACCAGAGCATGTTCAGTGGGACATGCAATGGGACTAGGCAAACAGCAGGCCAGAGGTACTTGGGTCTATGTATTTGCTGCCTCCCAAGCTGTCTCAGAGCAGCTCCAATTTTTACCCTCCATCTTATCCACAGCTTCCCTAAAGCTGCCTGCTTCAAGCAGGGGCCTGATTGCACAGAGGAGTAAGGCACGTTGTACTGAGCCCTATGGAGAGCCCTTGGCACTCGTCTGCCTTGCAGGGCACGGCTCAGCCTGCTGCTGTAGTCTTTCACTGTCACTGGGGAGGGAGAAGCTCTCCCATGAGAGTGCAGAGCACACTCTTGGGCACAGAAGCGTTGCTCGTTGCTTAGGGGTCAGGACCTTGGTGGGCACCGGCAGGTGAACGTGAGGCTTAGGCTTTTCTGAGCAGTCCAAAAGCAAGAGTTTCTATTTTAACAGGAATTTTACTATTTTCTACTGTAATAAAAGCTTATATTTATTGAATTGTCATGTTTTCTTTGCATCTGTTTTAATGCCGTGTAAACTCTTATATTCATTGTGACCTCAAGGGCCACATGTACATTCCATGGGATAGGAGCCATTTTCCCTCCTGTTGAGGGTGGATGCTACTGGACTGCTACACTGCTCTTCTCCATATGTCTGGTTCCCAAACTGCAGTCAGATCTATGGCTTGAATGCATGAAAGTCCAAACAGCATTAGACTGACAGCAGCTGCTGGTTTTGTTGTTCTCCTCAGCAGATTGTCCTCAGGTGAGTTCCCTTTGGGCTCAGCCCCAGCAACTTGCTTACTGGCTGCTAATATGTCCTTAGAGACATGTTCCCTGAGGGACCTGTTCCTGTCGTGGATGTGGAGGGGCAAATGCCTGACCTTGCAGCACTGTGACTCCTTTGACCAAGAGTTGCTTAGCTATTTTTAGGATGCAGTTCTAGGGCTGGCAGGGTAACAAGGCTGCCTTTGGGAACTGTAGATTTTTGACTTGGCATTAAGAGTCTCTAAAGTCCCAAACCTGGCCAGAGTTGAGGTTGACCCCACTTTAAGTTGGGACTAATTTAACTGGAGTGTACTGGCATGGGAAGGCAGGACTTTTGGGTGGGAGAAACAGATGAATGTGATGCCAACCACAGGGCTGGGTGGAAAGAAGTACATAAAACCTTACTGGAGCATTTTGCTGTGCAGCTCCCTGCTGTGCCCCTAATTCTCACTGCTGCGAAGGTTCCTTGCTGTACTAGTTCTTACCGTGTCTGAATCTCCACTTTCCTGAAGTTGAATGTGGATGAAAATTGCAGTTGTCTGGCCTGGGCTTGCTTTGTCACAGGATCTCTTCTGTCAGGTGAAGAGTATGTGGAAATGGAGTAGTATTTCAATGCACTTGAAGTTCCCTGTTGAGGTGAACAGAAGCAGTGCTGTTACACCAGGACACTGCCAGGTAGATCTAATGGCCCAAGCACAGACCTTTACTGATATTTGCCTCTCCTGGAGCAATGTCTCTATCCTGCTGCAAGCATTCAACCCACAATCTGAGGGCAAGTTTTTCCACTGCTTATTCCTTACTGCCAAAACCTTTCTCTTGTGTCAAGGTGATCTTGATTTCTCTAAAGGCACATGTGTTTATCTTTCATTGTCCTGATGCCTATTTCCTTTGGACTCCAGGTCCTATGGCTCTGCAGCAGCTTCTTATGACATCTAAAATTTCCACCTATCTAGAGCTGATGCCTGTCAGTTAAGTTTGTTTCAGCTAGAAAAGAGTAATGACTGAGCCCCATAGCAGTCTTGCCTTAGCAGATGAGATGTTGTCCTCCGCTCTTTCAGCACAGCTATGCCATGCTCAGAGCCTTGTGAGAGTATGAAAACCAGTTTCCGTGCTTTGTATTTCAAAGGCCAGCTTGCAGTGCACTATTGAATTATTTCCTGGAATCGCTTACTATTAACCTTTTCCCTATCTCTTGCAGAAGCTGGAGGTTCACACTGGCTGATATTTTTATCTAGTCTTCTATAGACTTGATTGACAGGATCTATACTGTCTTATGGCAGATGTCATAACATATTCCACTTTGTCCCCTTTTCCAAAACGGGCATATGTTTGCTGCTCTCTCTTCCTTTGGTGTGATCTCAAACGTTGAACTGGAGTAAGCTCAGTGGAAATGTTGCCAACACCTAGCACTTGGTATGGAGGAAAGAATTCCAGAGAGATGAGCCAGTAAAAAACGGTAAGGATTTTTTGTCTTCGTCTTACCATTTAAGGAGTTTGTGTAAGTACTGTGTTCCCCTTCCATAACTGCATCTTTCAGAGAGGGCAAGATTCAAAATTGGAGTTAGCAGAGCAGCTATTCAGCTCTTGCAGTTCTTCAATATTTCTTCTGTGTGTGCTGGTTCCCAGAGAAAGCCGAGCTTGCTCTTTCCATTTTGGCTAAGCTGGGCCTTGGTGCTTGCTGCACCTGAGTCTGGGTATGTACTGAGGGGCCTGGCAAAGGGCTGAGGGGCCTGTCCGCAGCTGTTCTCACACCATTCCTGTTTTTCACTGGACAAGTTATTACTCATATTTGCTTCTGCTCTTTGCCAAGGTCTCTGCCCACAGCACACTGCTCCCATTAACAGTTCCCCTGCCCTTCTACATTCATTCGACTGTTGGGAGGGGAAGCTCAGCTTTACCCTGTGTGGCCTCTCTGCCTGTTGCCTCTCCATGAAACACTTGCTTTGTTTTCCCTTAGAGTTTTGTCTGAGTTGTTGCAGATTAACCCCTTGGTGATTGCTCTGTGATCCCATGCTGCTGGGAGCTCTTCATACTGGGCAATGCCTAGTAATAGCCTAGCAATATGCCTAGCAATAACCAGGCTCATTGCACTGACAGGGTGCTTCCCCAACATACTCCTCTGCTCCAGCACTGGAGACAGCCCCAACTGGCTACTACACTAATGTGAGGGCCGTGAATGTGTAGAAGAACTAGGGTTTGTAGAGAGGAGTAACACCTGTTCGGTCAGCTGCAAATGTCTTCTATCTGTCATACCTAGGAGTCCTTCATCTCTGGCGTTATAGATATTCTCCTTACCACTTCTCACTCTCCTTTTTCTGGGCGTACTTGTCTCCTGTATTCAACGTGGAGCAGGTTTCGTCTGAGTCTCAGCATTTCCCCAACAAAATCTGCCTGGAGCGGGTGTCTCATGAGGTGTCTGGAGCTGGCGGAGTGCCAGAGCCTGGTGTGGCCTAGGACACTGCCTGTGGGAGCTCTGTGGAGATGGCGCCAGGAGGCCTGAGGCAGCTGTGGGCTTAGGCTTTCTGCTGCCCCTCACCACAACCCTTGCTCCCCAGGGCCATACTAGCCCTGCTTACTTTGCTGTCCAACTCCAGGTGATGAAAATATTTTCTAATAACTCAGTCACAAGTCTGGCTCTTTCAGTGCTTCATGCTCTGTTCTCTTCGCCCTACAGCGGTGCTGCCCTGAGCATATGTAGCCTCTGGGATAGCAGCCAGCTCCCTTATGTTATATCTAACTAAATTAGCCTTCGTTATAACCAAGCTCCATGACCGGGGGACTGGTTGGTCCCTTCTAGCTGAACATCCCTGCTGGGCTGACTTCAGCCCCTGCAGGAAAGGGCCACGCAGTAGCGAATGGCACTTGCCTGTCCAACTTCATCCCTTCTCTAGGTGCCAGTGCTCCTCACCCAGCTCACAGAGTGATGGCCCGGGGTGTTCATGCAAACCCTGTCCCTTTGCCCCGCTCTCCATGCTTGGGTTGGGGAGGTGGCACAGCCCGTGGCCCAGGCCTCAGGGCCATGGATGATACTGGGGTGCCAGCAGAATAGGGCACGCGGGACTCGAAGGAGGTGCTGACAGGAGGTGGGTACTGCCTAACCCCTCTGTGGTCCTTGTCTCCTGGCCTTCCATGTGCCGTGGTTTCGCTGCAGGGGACAGTCATTGCCCTTTGTGCCTCCTCCCAGCACGCGTGCCTTTTCCGCTTATCAGGAGGTTATTAACTAATGGCGGAGCTGTCCTCTATCAGCACAAACAGTCCCTAATAGAGCCGTCTGCTCCCTGTCCCAGTGCCAGATGACTTGTTTAATCTATATTTGTTGCTTGGGCTCGACTGCTTGAGGACGGATGCTGCCTATCTTGGGCCCAGCTGGGGAAGGGTGGAGCGGCCATGTCCCTTCCTTGCCCCATTGCCTGCGCCAGACTGGCAGGCTCCTCTCCTCAGCTGGAGCAAACACACCTGAGGCCACCTGCCCCACCATCTGCCACACTGTGACCGTCCCCGAGGCAGACAGAGTTGTAGCAAGGCCGAGCCCATCCTGCCCTGGAGATTACAGAGGGAAATGGGGTCGCTATGAACAGGCAGGCCGGGCCCCGTGCTCCCCTCATGGTGCAGCTCTGTGTGAGGCAGCTGTGGCCCGGGAGGCTCTCAGAGCTGTCCTTATCCCTCTGAGGCCTCGGGCATCTCGCTGGCACCCTCATATCACAGAGCTAAGGCAGAATGTGCAGGTGGGGCCCCACTGGGTGCCTCTATGGCAGGGTGGAGGCTGAGCACGCGCACAGCACCTGGCTCACGAACGGAAGCTCTCCTCATCGCTGGAGCTTTCCTTATCCCTTCGCATGCAGCCTCCCTCTCCGCTCCCCCTCAGACGCTATCTCCCCGATTACTAGCTCGCCTCGCTCCCTCAGCAGGCAGCTGTCCTGCCTGCTCTGCACGTGCCACATGCTGCCTCCTGCTCTGGGTTGTGCCCCACAGATTTAGTGGGTTGGGGCTGATCGTGGTTTTGTGGTTGGTGACTGTGCTCCTATTTCCTCTGGGGGGAAGAAGAAAAAAAAAAAAAAAGAAAAAAAATTTAAAGGCATTTAAGCATTTCTGAGCAAGACTCAAGAAGGCTGTTGGTCTTGCACATCCTTCCTGCCTGTGATGAGTGCCTTGGCTCCGTCAGCCTCAGCTGATGCAGGAAGGGATGAGGATGTGTAACGGCCTTCGCCCAACTGCCAAAGCTTAGGGCTTTGCCCTAGGGAGAAAGGCTCATGTTGCTGGCCCAGGCTTGGCCATTGCACACTGGAGAGGAGGCTACACCCTGAGGCAGTGCAGGGGACCTTAGCTGAGGAAAGGGGAGGGCTCTGGAGCTGAGGGCCGGATGGAGACAAGCACAGGAATGCCTATTATGAGCATCCAAGCTTGACCTCCTGAGGACGGTAGGGTAAACTTGTTCCACAGGCTGGATTGTGCTGTGGAAAGTTCCTGCTACTGCATCCAGCTGTACTTGGCCCTGGCCCAGTAACTAGCATTGGCGTGAGTGCAA